GAAGCTCACCAACAACATCAACGGTGGTTTTTCCGTTGGAAAATCTTCCGGTTGGTCCACCAAAGTCGACCCCATAAGGCAAGTAGTCAGCTCTGGCCAAGGACTGAAGCTGGTTGTTATTACCATTGTCAACCAAAGAGTCCCCAAAAATGAAGTAGCAAGGCACTTGCGGTTCAGCCCTAGCGCCACTCCACCACAGGCTCACGGCCAAAACCACCACGGAAACCAACCACATTCTCCTCGCCGTTCCCGCCATCATAATATCGACCCCAATTTAGCAATAAAAACTAAAATATAGAGGAGGAAGAATGAGAAGGACCGAATGGCTAGAAAGGTGAGAGAGAACCCCTGAAGAATGAAGATGATGAGGATATATAATAGCAAGGAAGCAATAGCATGCAATGCATAGCTTTTACAGTTGAGAAAGTTGGTTCGAGGCATTAACTACACCCGGATATAATGTGAGAGACTGTATGGCAAAGCCCAGCTCTGACACCTCTCTCTATATTTTTCTCTCTGAATTTCTCTTAATTTTTTGCATCCCAATACCTCTCATCAATAAGTGTTGCGTATCCAATGTACATCTTGGCCTTTGTCAGTATTTCTAATTAAAATTCAACGACACACTTACATTAATCACTGTATTAATTCAATCTGTAACTAATCAGCATTGCATAATGGTAACCTCATGAATAAGTGAATAACATATATATTTTCTCTTTAATTTCCATGCACTAAATTTGTGCAGCTCCTACGACGACCCTAGCTAAGTGAGACACCATTGGCTCTAGATTTGCGCAGATCTGTTTTTGTCATAGATGAAGTTTGACCCAAGTGTTTTGACAACATGTTTAGTTACTTGGAATGAGTTGGAATTGTTCTAAATCTTTTTTATTTACATGGGTGTTCAGTGGCGGAGCTAGACTTGGTATCACAGAGGAGCGTATAGCTTAAATATGTATGAAGAATTATACATATCCGCCCTTGTAAGTTTGTGCAGACTTCAAATGAGTTTTTGGAATGTGGGGGGTCACATCTACTTCAGGCTTATATGCATATCCGCCTTTATACGTATTGGAACTATTTTGATTATTATATACGTGTTCAAACACATAATTAAAACGCATCTGAGTTCTATATCACAATCCTATAATCTAATACTTTAGTAAAAATTAGACTGATTCGGAAGGGATAGATGATCACATTATTCATTCCCTATCATGTGTGTAATACTACATGTACATGTCTATGCTACACTAGTTTTGGACCTGGTAAACATGCTCGTGTTTGGTGATCTGCAAAACTATTGCAAAGTCAACTCTTCTCTCTAGAGCTCTGTGATCCTCTCATGCAGTCTCTCTGTCCATTTTGCGTTTACTTTGGCTCCTCGCTATTTAGTGCATTGCAGAACTGATGAAGCTGAGATTCAAGAATCAAGACATTATTGGTGTGTGAAGAATCTGTGTAGCAAGAAAAATGCTACGGATACTATATTTTTGTACTATATTGATGTATCATAATGTGGCAAATGTTCCGTCTGTTAATAAAATTTATCTCATTGAATGTTAGTTGTATGCATCATTTATCACATAAAACAATATACTAATTGAGTATAATATATGATCTCTTTAGCATTGTTCGTCTAATAATGATATTGGTCTCGAGCATGTTCTACAAAAATTTATACCTAACCTACCCACATGCAATTTAATGTGGGAGGGTGGCAATCTTTAATGTTTTGGGCCAAGTTAGTTTCATTGCAATTGCATTGCTGCATTGCATGCCCTGTAAGGATAAACGCCCTTACAACCATCTCCCTCGCATGATTGACAAGAAGACTGGATACACAATTTGGTAAGAAAATATGTCTTTTCTAAAGTTTTCATCGACTTATATGCGTCGTTGGTCTCTCTTTCATGTGGAAGGGGAAGACAAAAATTGCACTGTATAGTGAAAGCCAAGAACAAAAGAAGCAAACCCAGCTACCCAAAACATGGCCAGCAGTAAATAACGTAACTTTCTTTGGCCAAAACAGTGAGCACCTAACTACAAAAGAAGCAAAAATAAACCCCAAAGAAATGTGTTAGAGAAGCTAAACATTAGCGAAAAAGGGTTTGACTAAAACACATACATACACTTGAAAATACAATGATTAGGGTCTATTGAACGACACATTTGTTCCATTTAGTAGTACATTCAGCCCATCAAATGGCGTAGCATCACTTCAAATGTTTCATATAAACCATTTAATTAGTCTAATGCATCATTATATGATTGATCTGGTGCATCGTCTTATTACTTGTTTTTAGGTGTTTGTCTTTAGTATTTGTACTTTAAAAAACTTGACAAGTTATACTAGTCAATTTGACAGGGTAGGGTCAATCCTTTTTAAGTTGACTAAGAAGTGAAAGGAAAGCGGCACCTCCATGGAAATCGATCTTTCTCATCTCATCAATCCTCTTGATCCACGGTGGTCCTTGAGCCGAAGCAGTCAAACATTACATTAATACAGGGCAAAATCATTTATATTGTGTTATCTTCTTCGCCATCTCTCTCACACTCTTTATCGGAGAGGTCATTTGGCTGGTTTCCTGCTGTGGAATTTGAAGGTTTAAAAGGCTTGTATAGCTTTTGCCATTGCAAAAGTTAAACACTGCTTGTATTTATAGGGAAATGCTCCTAGATAGCACTATTTATCGTGACAAATTGAGAGTATGTTGATACTCTATGAGGTTTTTCATATTTATCCTTAAATCTAAATTTTCATATCCAAATCTAACACAATGAATAATCCACGAAAAACAGGTTTAGCTAATCAAATTGTTATCCCTAGAGACAATAAGTCACTAGTTCAAACATTTTTCTCCTTATATGTTTTCCAAACTGATATGCTAAATTACTCTAATCTATAAGAAGAAACTCTAACATAAGTGTAAAAAGCGTACACAATTGCTTCAACTACCTAACATAACCACATCTACTTCTCTTTTAGGCTCGCTTTGTACCTATAATTAAATTGAAATGGATAACCTACTAAAATTAAAAGTAAGTTGAACTTGAAGGGAGATACTATAAAATTACGACCACCCAAAGAATATAAGATTGATTACTCATACATAAAACTTAATAACTGCAAATGGTAGGATTCTAAAGAATAAATTTCCTTCATAGCTAATCATCTTCTAATTCCCTCGAAAACGCGAGAGCTTAAAAAATTTGCTTGTGAGTTTGTGAGTGTGAGGGAATAAATGTCTATAACTTGTTGCACATGAAAGAAATGGTTCCATTACATGCACGCTCTGCACAAACAAGATTTGAAGAGCATGAGTTAGATCAGCAGAACCAAGACCCGTGATTATTTCTTTAATATAATCAAATGGAATTTTGGGACCAAGTTTATAAACTTCGAAAAAGGATAAGATGAAGGAAAGATGGAATTTATAAGCATGTGATAACAGTTAAGTGCTTTTGGTCGCAAGGAGTGACACAATTTAAACACGTAGTTGAGATACTGTACTAGTACTACTATTTACTACTTAGCCATGTCACATCACCTATTAAATATTTGCCTTCAATTATTTCGTCACCCACCACGTGCCACTTATTTATGGGAATCACTGTATATCTGTTTAAAAGCTTTGTTCCATCTTTATTTGCAATAGAGAAAACGGATTTGGAGAAGCTGAGTCCACAACATAATAATTCATATGTTTGGGTATGCATGGTAGGTAAGATTGGTAATTTTTTGCACGATTCATTTACACAATGTGTGAAAATAACATGTTTCAGATTAATATGTTAACGAGTCATGTTATTATCAAGTCACTCGTTAAAAACACGTTAACGTATCATAAAGGTGACCATTAAAATAACGGGTATAACACGTAAACAACACGAACACGATCCATTTGCAAGGTCTAGATATAAGACACGACAATTTCTTGCGTAACCCATTAACATGATGCAAAACCACACGACCCGTTAACAATTGGGGTCGTTATTGAGTCTCCTCTTAAGAACCCTTTGAGATAACGAATTTTACACGATACGATCCGTTAAGATATTAATTATGACACGAAAACAACAAAAACATAACAAACACGACTTGATTGCCGGGTCTAGTGCTAGGCCATGATTGAGTTCTAGCAAGAACACTTTTAGTAGAAGAGCATTTTTTATAGTAGGGAACTTTAACGAAAAGGTTCTGGTATTGTTCACTTTAACGAAAAATCATATTTTTACACTAAAAAGTCAATCATAGTACTATTCACTTTACCTTTTATTTTGTCTTTATGGTTAAAACTCAAAATTTTCAAATCTTTTTCATTAATTTTTTTTTAATAAGAACTCTCAAATATGTCAAAGGACTTTTTCATATACGCTTTTAGATCGACACTATTTTAGTGTTTGGTAGAACCAGCCATAAAAGCATTTGGACTTCTACATTTTTAATTCAAAAAATTGGGAGGTGTAAACAGTTTGAAAAAGTCGTCACACCCTATCTTGGTGAAAGAAATTAAATTGGGATATATAACTCTTTAATTTGAAGGTATGATGAGGGGATAAATGAAAAAATTATGTCCAACACGAGGTTAGAAGATGAATTATTTACGGTAAAAACTTATCCATTATAATGCTTTATAAAATGGAAGGAATGGAAATAATGAGTTTTCTTTATGTCTTATCTTCTTTTCATCCCCACCAAATGAAAAATATTCACTTCCACTTCCGATATGTCTTAAAATTAGAAAGTCTTCTTCTAGTACAATCTAATCATACATACCATGCATGCCCAATGTGACAAAGAAAAAATTATACTTCTAACAGAAGCATTTGTGAGTTAAAGTTGTTCCTACAAAATGAGAGATTTTTCCTTGTGTTCAAAACGCGAGCTTGTATTTATAATATAAGTGCATAGAAGTTTTTATATTTAAGTATTTCTTCATTTACAAAATGTTCGTGTTTCAAGTAAACCGAAAAATTTCTCTTACAAAAGCAGATCCAACAACAAAAACAATATCCAAAGTTTATGGCAAATTGACACTACATTCGAGAAGCAATAAATAAAGGAGCCCATTGTCCTCTAAGTTGAGGCCCCATAACTAAAGGACATAAAAAACAAACGTGACAAATTTTTGTAGTGTATGATGAAAGAAAATAAAATTACAAGCCATAAAATGTCATAGTTCTTGATGGTTGGTGGAACCGTATTTCAATCCCAAATCCTTGAGGATTTGAACAACACCTTGCAAATCATCGGAGCCCAATTCAAGACAATCCCTTAATAGCTCGCCCTCCACCACCTCTCTCTGCACCGTCTTCACCAAGTCTCTCAACGCTCCCTGCCACAAAACCCCAACCGTAGTGTCACACATTTTATAACACGTGTATATATTCGATAACACTCGCGTAAAAACCGTTGTTCATGGATGCTACGGATTAAGTAACACGTCACAATAAAATATTTTACAAAAATGATTCACCAGATGTTTAAAGGGTTTATTTGAAAATGCTTCCGAAAAAAAATAAAAGTTAACCATCAGAAATGTTTTTTATTATATTTGACCTAAAATCATAAACGTACTTGATATTTAGGTAAGAAGTGATACGGTGCGTACCGAATGATAGAACATATTGAGGAGCCGACGGAGCAGCGAATTGGAAACCCTGAGGATACTTTGGTAATTCTGAGCGACCCAAGCGGCTCTATCGGAATCCGATTTCCTCTGAGTCAGGTCACCCAGCCACCTCAGCAACTCGTTCGCGTCCGAAACGGCGCCGTATACCACCTCCGTATTGGGGAAGTCCCTCCACGAGTAGTTCCAGAGGTAGTCCCAGCCGGCGGACCGCATGAACCCCCACACGCCCATCTCGAGCCCCCGCTCCAGCTTCGACGCGACGGCCCTGGCCCGCTCCGATCCCGAAATGTCGCCGCGTGATGCGCGGAGGTTGGCCACGCGCGTCATGAGCGAGTGGGCGAGGGAGAAGAGGGTTCGGTACTGATAGTAGGAGAAGGATTGGGAGGGCCGTGCTGTGGTCAGGAGGAGAACGGTGAGGAAGAGAAGGGTTGGTTGCGACGGCGTCGTTTTCGCCATAGGGTTTTCTGGAGCTCTAAAGTGTCTGATGAGTGATCGACGGTTGAAAATGTTTGACACTTATCGTTCCGGAAATTGGAGCGAAGAAAGGTTGGTGGGTCCTACACTTTTAGTTCCAGAAATTGGAAGCGAAGAATAATTGGTGGGTCCTACTACTGGTGGGCTGATGATGAGCCCAAGGGAACTTTTTGTTATTGGGCTTTATTTAGATGCCCAATAATATTTCAGGATTTACATTTTCACAAGCGAATATTAACGTGTGGCCTTAACACTACTTTGCACGCAGAGACGGTGTAATCAATCCATTCAAATTAGTGCCGGTGATGAGTGCGTTTTAACTTGTGACGGAGACTAACGTGAAACGGGAACGCTATAGTGAGAGTGTCTTAAATTATTGATGATGAGTGCGTTTTAACTTGAGCCGAAGACTGACATGAAGCGAGAACGCTGTAGTGAGAGTGTCCCAATCATTTTATGCTTTGTCACATGCTTTAGCTTTTTCATGCATAATTGATTCCAGACACTATCACACTGATGTCCTTATTTCATGTAAGTTATTTTCAACTACTGCTTTTCAGTCTAAGGTAACTTCTAAAAGTTCTCATTATGCAACTAAATACCAAATTTGCTGCATACGCGTAATGAAAAATAATGTTAAATGCACATACATGGATTAAAAAACCATAGTTGATGAGCACTTGTCTCTCAAGATGCGAAAACCATGTCCCTGTAACAGTAGTACTCCAAATCATAAAACTATAATGAATTGTGCTAAATACTCTTTCATATGGACTTGATGAGACTCTCTAATATTTAGTGCACTTTAAGTAATGATTATTTGATTAATGAAAAAGTATTTCATGACTACAAGGTGACTTGCCTATATATAGAAGTAAAGATGTCTCTTTTGAAAATAAGTGACTATCCATAAAGTCTCAAACGTTGCAATTCTTTATTTGAAGAGCCATCATTCCAAAAAAAAAAACGTCACTTCTGATTTTCTTTTAATTGATAAATTTAATATTATAATAAAATATTAAATTTCCAACAAAGTGCACGTAGACAATGTTCTAACTGGTGTTTATGAAAAGTAACCGAAAATGGCATACCTTTCATAGCCTCTCTAATTTGTTTCTTAGTAGTGTTGGTCTCTTGTGCACAACCAATTGGATATGCGATATAGATTTCGATGAGGTTAAACCCCACCACAAGGATCTGGTTTATTCTTTTATGTGGTTGAGTCTTTGTTTTCAATAGATGTTATATGATAATTTGTCGATATTCAATTGATATGTCGAAAATATCAACATAAACTGTCGAGCTTCGTTGATATCTTGTAAAGTTTAGACTTCATCCCACTTCTAAATTTTTCTCTAACTTTTCCGATATTTTCATGTAAATCTTGACCATGTCGAATAAATTGTAAACACTGAGTGCTAATAACCATATATTTTTTGAGGTAAACGATATTCTAATGCAATCTAAATTACATACAATGAAGATTCAAACTTGATGGGTAAGGTAACACACCGTCTAGATAATTCAAATACATCTAAATTGCGTAATGAAACAAATATTCTAATTAAATTTCCTTGCTCTATATAATGAAACAAAAATAATATCTTTTTCATTAGAGGCTAAGCTTATGGCTAAGATTTTTCTACGTACGCACGCATCTGTACTAGTGTTGATTGAAAAGCGGACGACAATGACCTAAATATAAGAGATATCGGTGTCTTTCAACGCCACACGTGGAACTTGTGATTATCATGACATTTACCCTACAGCCTGGTGACATAACGCCTACAGCCTGGATCGCGTGAACAGTGGAAGACAAGTGTTTCAATCATATGACTAAGTTTATCTAGGAGAGGTTCTTGAGTACGGTAGTCGGAATGGTATGTTTATGCGCCGGGAGGATCTTCTCCAAATTCGAGAATTCTGGAATTTTTAAATTGTGTCGTATATTATGTAGTTAATTTTGTCAAATATCATTTATATTTATTTTAAAATAAATATATTTAAAATAATTTATCACAGCACGATGTACGATGAACGAACATGATTCGAGGATTTTCAAGATTCTTACAAAGAGAATCCAAAAAGAATCCTCGTTCATTTATGAGAGGGGGAATGGGACCAGGTGGGGGAAATGGTGGATCTCAATAGCAAGAGGTGGGGTATGGGATGGTTTTTGTGACTATGGCTGTAGAAAACATGTGATGCGGGTATCGGATCACATAATTTCTCTTATTTAGAGTTTCTCGTATTTTCTTGGGATATTACTATCTAAACTATTTTCTTGGAATATTGCTATCCACACAAAGTTTAAATGACAATTTGATTGCAATGAGCAATATAATTAACATAATGCATGTTGCTTAACAAGTTTGCACTACCTTTAGCGATTAGCTCTGTTAGTCCCCACCTTAGGCGTGTCATTTATATAGCGGCACAGTAGCGTTGGGCCTCAAATTTGTTTGAGTAATGAGGTTGTTGATCGTTGATGAATGAGTTGACTGATGAGTCCCTTCCCAACATAATTAGTTTTGTTGTCACACTTAGCACGTGTTGTGGCCACACTAGAGTGACGGTTGGAGGTGATTTTCGCCTTGTGTGATGATTTATGCGGTCTTGTTTACTAATGAGGACTTTATATGGTCTCGCTCCTACGCGATAACTTTATGTGGCCTTGCTATTTGGAGAAAACCTATTGTAGTCGCTGATACATATCTGTCACAAGTATCATTTTGTGACAAATTGGTATGGGTGACGTTTGTAGTTTTGGTCCGTGAGGTAGTTGTTGAGGAATTTGCTACAGTTGTATGTTTGAGCAAATTCACCGCAGATTATTTTCTTGGTTAGTGGAGTAATGTACCCATTTAACACTTCTAAATTAGTTTCAATCCAAAAAAGCGTTTTATGAACTTATAACTACATATTAAAGCTCTAAAGCTCTAGAAATATAATTATTCTTTAAGAATATAGTTGTGATAGAAACCAAACACTTGCAAACAACGAATCCACATCCATGTCGAAATCCTCACTCTCTTAAAAACATGTGGCTAAACTGAATGCAGTGCTTTTATGAAAATGGTGAATTGCGCTGATCGATAATGGTTTTTTTTTTTATTCATTGTGTTTTAGATTCAATCTCTACTCTCATTTCGTAGTTCTAAAAACACATATTTGTGTACTAATGATGTTCTACTCCTCATTTTTAATGTGTATGATATAAAGTTTATAAACACATCCAATTAGAAAGAATATAAAAATTGACCACAAAATACATCCATTTAGCATAAAAATTTAGAATTTATTTGGAATTTTGAGATCTCATCAAGTCTGAAAAAATTTGCATAAAGTTGGATTAGAAATTTGGAATTTTTCGAATTTCTAGATACATTGCAAATGCTCAAATTTGAGAACTTTTGGATTTGGAATTAAAATTTTTTGGGTCAGAATCAGAAGTTTAAATCCAAATTACTCCAACACATATGGTCCCATAATGATATATGGTACGAAATAAAGTTGTTTATTTATTTATTTATTTATTTTCTAGTGTCTCTCAAAGACTCAAACTATTCTTAAAGATTAAAATGAAAAGAAAAAAAAAATACCCTTATTTTCTGCATTAAATCAAGAAAGGAGGAGTATTTTGGACTCTAATTTTAGTAAATTCACAAAACACCAATTCACTAAGAAATTGTGCAATGTTGGTGGTGTGGACCGGGTCACATACAAACACAGCTCACTGCAAGTCCTATGTTCTATAACTCCTTCTGAGCATATATAAATATAAGAACCAAAAGTTTTTTTTGAATTGGATGCAAATGTTTGGTTCGGTGTCATCATCTCTTCTGCATGGCCAAACCAAAACAAAACAAAAACACAAAACAGCAATGTATGTCTCCACTCTCCCTCTTTGTGGATAATCTTCATCACAATCTGATTGAGTTTTGAGACTTTTCTGCATCCTTTGGTGTGACCACAGCCACTCCCCAAAATATCGGTTGCCCAACTTGCCACACCCACCCCACGTACGTACATCCATTCTCCAATCCCTTCTTCTGGTTTTTATAAAATCGCTTCTCTGAAAAGCAAAAGCAGGGCACTCTTGGCACTCTCAAATCCCAACAGAGATCTGCATTCTGCATAGCTATCTGGTCAGTCTCCTCCATTCGCTTTCTCTCTTCTCATTTTTTTATAATACATTTTGTCTTTCGCTGAATTGTTATTCCCATGATTCTTGGCTTCTTGTTTTCTATTATATGTGCCGTTGTGTATTTTTCATGGGATTTTGATTTTGTTTGTGTTAATTTTGTCGCGACATGCAAAACAATCAACTTGATCATGGTTTTTCCCCTTTTTTCCCTTTTTCAAATGATATTTTATTGGGGTATTATTTTGTTACTTCAAAAATTATTTACTGTACAGAAAAATGTATCATGAATCTTGCACTTCTGCAATTTATTTTTTTAACTCTGGATAATATATATTAGTGGTTAATTTCTTTTAATTCTCTGAATTACTGCAGTATGAATATATTTACACTGCATATATTAACACTATCTAAATTACTACAGTATTTGCTGCTGAATTTTTATTTCTTGGTTTATGACAAACATGGCAGGTGTTTGCATATATTGCAGTAATTAAAATGAGTGATTGGATAACGAAAATGTGCTCGAAGATATGTATTACAGAAGAAAACTAATTGTTTGTGAGACATACCTTAACAAATATGTTGTAACAATTTGAGTGCTTTTCTTTTAACACATTTGTGTTGAAGTAGTTGAGGATGAATAATCTGCTAGAAGTTTTGTAGTATGAGAGCTGATGCACGACTCAAATAACCCATAGAAATTTGCAAATTGCAGCTTTTTCTGCAGGACAAGCATATGCCAGGAAATAATTATAACTGCAATCCTTCCACACCAAGAAGTAGATTGGAAAGGCTTCTCAGGGAAAGAGAGCTAAGGAGATCAAACCGCGTTTCACAATCAAATGAAGATGGAAACAGACAGGCAGAATTCGTAGGGAGTGATGCATTTTTCACCGAGGGTGAAAATTTAGGTTTATCCAGTGAGG